GTGTGTGTGTGTGTGTGTGTGTGTGTGTGTGTGTGTGTGTGTGTGTGTGCATGTGTATGGCTCTGACGTTAAGCCAAAGACAGGGGCAGGATGTTCCTGTGAAGCACCAAAGCTGTTGCCCCCAGCCCCAGGCCCTAAGCTCCTGGCATTAAACCATAAAAACACTCACACATTCACACACCCCCGGTATGAGCACCACACATCACAGCAGCCGGGAGAGCAGTGATGCAGAGACAAGGTCATGTTCATATTCATAAGCTTGACTCCTTTTTCTTTAAATTCATCATACATGAAAGAGTGCAAAAGAATGCAGTATTGAGTGTTTTTCTTGCTGTGAAGCCATCTAATGAACAAATGAAATCAGCAGCAAATGAGTCTTTTCTCTGCTAAAAAAAACTACCCAAAACACGTGGATGAGCTAACTATACAAAACACGTGGATGAGCTCCGCTGTTGCTCTGGAGGACGTGATGATTTATTACGATTTAGATGCTGACATTAGTTTATTTCCAGTTTTGTCCCAAACAATTCATCGCGCTGCCATAAATAACCACTAGAGCACAAAACACATTTTAATCCTCTACTTCAGACTGAAAGAAATGCACTGTTTTACTTTTTCGAGAAATATTTGCTCCCCCGGCTATAAAAAATAAACACACCGAGTATTTATTTAGAATGTATAGTTCAGGAGAACCTATCGGGGATAGAAATGAGTGCTACATCTGAGACAGCAGGGGGACCTCAGGAGGTACAGAGAGATACAGCACATTGTTGGATTTTCATGAGCTTTGTTGACAATTAAAATACTAAAGAGCCCCAGCCAGGAGAAGAAAGGAGTGTCCCTGGAAAATAGAGGCCGATGCTGATATTTCAGTTACTAGAATTCACTTTGAGCCAGAGCTCTTGGTTAGATTGCGCACACAAACATCTCTTGGGTGCCCAGCGATGACTGTACTCATGAAAGATCTGCTCCGTTTCATCCAGAAAGATTGAAGTTATTCATGAATTCTGTGGCTACTTCCTGTGCAGATACTCCCATTGGCAAGATCAGATCAGCTCAAGGAAACCTCTGTCCATGATGTATGCATACCCTCAGTATCAAGACTAGAAAACAAACTCTCGGCACCGTTACTGAATTTACAGTTACATTATCATGAGGCTCATACACTTGACTGATCTACTTGGCTGTTTATCTTTACTGTCCAGATATGTATTGAGCCGATCTTTCTTTAATCATCTGAAAATGATCCATTAAAAGTGGACAATTGTTCAAATTTGTTTGGTTCAGGTGCAGCCAGCCCATTTCACTCTCCAAGCAATTCTGAGCTCCTCAGAGCTGCAGTTCAGCCGGCCTGAGGTGGACTTTGGCTGGTGTTCCATCTACCAGTCTGTCAGGAGCAGCGTTCGTCTCACCAATCTGTCCCTGCTCCCTCAAGACTTTGGCTTCTTGGATGTTCCGGAGGTAAACCTGAAGTTTTTATGACCAATGCTGAACATTGCTGTCTTTCTTTACATCTCCCTAATTTAGTGGTTTTACTACTGAGCTTCAGTTCTTCTCTTTGCGGCTATCCATGACTTAGAATTAATCACATTTATGTTACCAGTGATGCAACAGAGCTTGAACCGTGTTTTGAGACTATCTGGACTTGCCTGTGAGTCCCCCTCGCTTCAGTGGGCAGGTTTAGTGCCAACAAGAAGTGGTGGATTCCACAACAGCCAAAAGGAGATTGTCACTGAGAAAGACAGGAGAACAAAATGAGTTTGCCTAAAGTGTTGTTTTCTCAAATTGCAGTTTATAGAGGTCCAGCCCAATGATGGTTTTGGTACTCTACTCCCACAAGAGACTCTGGACATAGATCTGATTTTCAGCGCAAGAGAAGCCAAAGAGTACCATTTCCAACTCTGCTGCAAGTCCGGAATAAACAGGTTATTTTGTAGTCCGACAAATATGAATGAGCAGGACAAAGGTTTATGGGAGGTTTATTTAACGAATGGGCCTCATTTACAACTAAATAATTTCTTGCTAATCGCCATCAGAGACTTTCTGCTGTCTTGTCGAGCGGTGGGTGTCCAGCCGCCACTGGAGCTCTCTCATTCTCTGGTGGAGTTTGGGGCCACAGCAGTAGGAGACCAGTCCACAGCCGTGCTTCACCTGATCCACGCTCAAACCAAACAGACGCGACCCAAACAATCAGTCACACCAGAGGGCCGAGAGAACCAGACATTCGGGGTTCCCAGGTTGTTCTGCTTCACTCTACCAGAGGAATCAGACATCAGCATCACGCCATCTGCAGGACGCCTTCACCCTGGAGAGGTGAGGCTGTGCGGAGCTGGATGCTCTTTACCAGTTTTCCCCCACAAAATGTAGTAGATTCTTTGTCTCTGGAGAGGCTTTGATAAAGAATAAGACTGATGACAAATCAGGCTGTGAGACTTTTTTTTCCCCCACAACAATGTTGTAGAGCTTTTTAACCCAATAATGCCATTGTATCAAATGCAAAACATTTCAGAAACCATATGTATCAAATATGAGACCTTTTTCATCAAAACCCTATTTTACACAATCAGATACCTGGTAACAGCTGGCAGAAACAATGTTTATGTCGCAGAGACTACAAAGACTAAAGGGATGAAAAGGAAATGCCTGAATATAAATAGCAGAAAGGACATAATCATTACAGAAGATGTCAGAGGAAAATTAACCACAGTGCAGCTCAATAAAGTTCTTTTCCAGAGAGGCAAAGAGCTGTCACAGCTTCCCTGGCTGACAACAGATGCTTCTGCAGTGTAATGAGGCTCTCTACTGGTCACCCAATAGAAGTGAAGTCACACGCATTTACTAAAATAGGAAAAACGGTGACAGGGGAAAAAATAGTTTTATTTCTTTGTGTGCATCATTTTAATATTCAGAAATGTTTACAAGCTTACAGCTATGGGTTGACAGTTTAATTTGGCTGTAGACCTCTTTATTTAGTGTATAATAACAATGAATTAATTTCACATTTGTTTTCTTCTGCAATTATGCAGATGACCAATGGGAGTAATCCTGTCAATAGAAAACAGAGGGATTATCATCCCCAATATACTTAAGTTGCTCCATCCAAAGAAAAAAAAGATACCTCCCAAAACTAATTTAAAACTCTGCTTTCTATGATGAAGAAGGCTCGAGGGAAATTGAAATAAATAACTGGATGCTGGAATCTGAAAGTAACTCTGAGTGATATCTGACTTTAACATCGTATTCTTATAAGCTGACTCTGTATGTGATGTCTCTGGTTCCAGAGATGTCCGGTCCAGGTGATGTTCAGACCTAGACTTTCTGACCACAAGATCAAAGAAGAGGTGCTACATCGCCGTGACCAAGCCAAGATGCGCCGTGAGAAGGAGCTGGAGAGAAACAGACAGGCTAAACGGGAGGTACCCCCACCTGTGATAATCACCATCTGCTATTACCTGAGCTTTAACATTTAAACAACCCCTCAGCAGCACATAGATGAAAACACAGTTTATACCTAATAGCCATTTTTTTAGCATTATGTACATCATATTTGTATTTTGAAACACTATAAAGGAGGTCCAGCAGGAACCCACTAAAGGGAAAAGGCCATCTGTGAATCCAAAGAACACCCAGGCTTTAGAAGAGCCAAAGACTGTGGAACCAATAGAATCACCTGATCAAGCTGAGATACAGCCGGGGTAGGTATCTCATACCAATACCCAGTGCCATCAAACACTCCCAGTCTACTGGCTTCATTTGTGGTGGTAATATTCCATTTTCTTTTACAGAAAACATTTCAACAGAACCAGAAATCTTCAAGTGTGAAGAGTTTCCTTATTTGTGTGAAATGCTTTTGTGTTCTGTTGAAGGTCAAAAGAGTATGAGGAGGTGAAGGCCTCTCTGCTGTGCTCCTTCAGCCAGCGTTACAGAGAGTACACCATCCCCTGCTTCGTTTCAGACCAAGACCTTCCAGAGACAGACCGACAGGCTCAGGCAGCATGGAGGTACAACTCAGCTTTCAGTCAGACTTCATCATTCGAACATAGGATGAGCCCCACCTGAAGGGTTTGGTGTCCTTCACCAGAATTGGTTTATAGAGTAAAAAAGTATAGCCACTAAAGTTTGCTTGACGCCATCCAGAAGCTTTTTGCTGTTAGTTTCGGCCATTCTGACACTGAGGTTCTGTCAGGCTACCGCTTGAATGAGCCTCTATATTCTACAGCACAGGTAAGCCCCCTCTCTTTAAAGCGCTCCAGTTTGTCCTCTTCAATCATGTCTTTGTGCTGTTGGAGAAGCCGAAAAGCCCGAGAACTTTCTTCCAAATCTGCTGACTGCAGTAACAGGTCATAGAACATCCACTGCACAGGGTATTTTCTGCCTTCTGGCTCTTATTTTGTCATGGACAAGCAAACTGATGCATAGCTTTACAAAACAGACCTGCCCTGGTTCCATCTGCACACAATCCATCAAATGGGAGACGACTTAACCATGAAAGATTTTTGCAAACATTGGCCGTACCCCTGTGAGTCACACACTTTGAGTCCTGCATGCACCAGAACTTTGGCAAGCGTTTGGATAGATTTATCTCACTGTGGCCTGTTCACGTGACTCACATTGGCTTTTCATGTGAACATGACACTGCTTCACAATGCTTAACCCGAAGCTTTTTTTAAATGTTCCATAAGGTGCTCTTTTTACGATTTCCATCAATGCTCATTGACTTCTCTGATTCATTTTCTTCTCAGCTCAACATCCCGGAAGCTTTTTTACCCCAGCCAATAGAGAAGAACTCCCAATGTAAATCCAGTGCTGTCACCTTAACAGTACAGAATACGTACACATGAGCAAAAATGTTCAAAGAAAAGTAAATGAAAAATGGGAAAGGGGTCAGTCTCAGTCTTCCCAGTCAGATTCAATAGAACTTTGATGAGTTTGAAGAACCATTATGGGATCTGCCTATGTAGTGTCAGTAGGCAGAATGTATAAGGCTGTAAATGCAAGAAATTAGAAAATCTCTTCTTTTTTATGCTGTGAAAGGTTTTTTTTTTTCTTTTTTAAAACTGCTCCAAAAATTAGATTGTTGCATTTCATTAGATTTGGGTGAATTATCTTTTTATTTTGACAATGAAATAGCTTTTTCCTCTTGTTGTTTTTCAGACTTCGACTTTGTACAAATGTAAAAAAGGTTAACTTATACATTTTTTAGTTTTTAAGCTGATCTGTTTGTCTTGTCGCCCTCAGCCCCATGAACACACTCTACCTGAAGCTTCGGTGTCCTGCTGTCCAGCCCCCTCTAGTGGTGACATCCAACAACGGGAACAACGTCATAGACTTCCATCAGGTGGTTGTGGGTACGTCCCTTTTTAAGTGCTTGTACTAATTTCAGTCTCCATATTGTTTGCTTAAACTTTGTGTTGTCTCTTTGTCTCTCTTTGCAGGAGAAAAGGTGGTTAAAAGGTTTACTGTTCAGAACATTTCAAAGGAATCTTTGGAGGTATCCTTTTTCCATAAACAATAAGCCGGCTTATTCAATAAAGATGATGGTTTGGATTTTTATAAAAATGTTGTACATTGAAATTCAGTTTACCTTCTCTGAGCTGAGATGGAAATAAACTACTTTACAGTGTAGTTGTGTCCCATCTTACCTTTGACGCTATTACCACATGTTTACTATCCAGTAATGACGTAAAAAGCTCACTTAATGAAAACAGGCCAAAAACACACTGCTCTTATGAGGTAAAGCCAGACAGAAGACACATTACCTTCATATTTCATACAGTTCGTGTCTTACTGATGGTTTCCTTTAACCACATGCCAGCTGAAGTCATCTGTCTTGGACATAAACTGTACTTTCTCCCTGCTTAATGCTCTCAGATGCATAAGACCTGGAGAAAAACACACTTTGGTACTGGCCTTTAGTCCAACTCAGGGTAAAAAGGTGGGTTCTTATTGTAAGCAGGTTACCATTTAACTGGAACTTCTCTTTGTCGTCATATGCTAATAGTATATTATTAGAAATAAGTCAATATTCACTGTTAACCACTGATCTTGGAATTTGGGATTCAACCTGACAACAGTCAAATGAGAAAACACCTTTAGTAACAAACAACATTATGGCTATTCATCCGTGTTTTAACCACCGAGCCTTTCATCTCCTCAGTACTGTGACGTATTGGAGGTGCAGTGCCAGAAAATGATTTTGGTGATGACTCTGCGTGGAGAGGGTGTGGCCCCTTCTGTTACACTGTCTCACACTGGGGGTCTTCTTGACCTTGGCTACGTCTTAGAGAAAGAGACCACTTCACAGCGAGTTCAGGTTGGTCAACATTTTGCCAATATCATGTTACCTCAGACGATTTCTGTTGAAATAGGGGCTGACTGCTCATATCGGCCAGCACAGGTAACGGCATTACGCCCCGCTCTGTTTGCAGTTGGAGAACAGCTCAGCAATGGCAGTGGGTTTCAGTGTGCTGCTGGCCAGTCAGTCTCTTTCCAGGCATCAGGATGGAGCCGACTGCGTGGCCTTGATACTGGACGGATACAGAGGCTCTCAGGTTCAGCCCACCGTGGGTAGGTCGTAACAGAAAAATGACCATGTAACCTGAAAACTTTGGAGGATGAAGCCCAACAGATTCCTTTCCTCGCACTCTATGCTTAACCTGATCTGCCCCAGAATTGAATCCATTTTCTGGGAATTTAAGTTGTTGGGAAATAAGACTTAGGGGTATAAGTGAGTTGCTATCTTCAGCTTTGTGACTAAATATATTTAGCATTTGGCAGAAAAATGATGGTAGTGCAGGAGACTGAAGCTGCACCTGAAATTCTGTTGTTCTTTAAAAACATGGCTTGCATTTAAAGACTCTGCAGCTCTGGTGATGAGTTCTCATAGTTTTGAGAAGCTTTAAAGCTTTAAAGCCTTTTTGAGTCATTGCCTTTGCTGTTCCAGCTGTATAATTACTTGGAAAACATTAAGGCAAAGTAAAGCCTCAAAGATAAGACAGAAAAACGTTTTCAGATTTTCCCTCTAAAACAATTATTCACTGGTGTTTCAGACATACTATTTGATCCTGTCATCATCCCCAATTTTTACATTTATTTTAAATTCATTTGGCCACTTGAGTTACTGTAGCAAGTCTAGCTTGCACACAGAGGCGGTCATTTTGCTGCATAAGGAAGCTCTTATAATTCAGCTTCTGTGTTGATTTATTGATTTATCTTGTTTTTCTTTATCAGTTCATCTTTTTCTCTCAGAAATTCATAGCTGTGCCATTATGGCTTTAACGTGTGTGTGTGTGTGTGTGTGTGTTTGCAATTTGTGGCTACTGTTGTCACTTCCAGTGGCATTATAAAATCAGTCCCAATAATATGTATGATAATCCTTTTTTATTGGTTTTATTTGTGAAGGAACCCAGAACCTCAGTGGGCTGAGTGTGTTCAGCGTGGTGCCACTAGAGGGCAGCATTGGACCTGGACAAAGCCAGGACATCACCATCACCTTCCAGCCTGATCACCCATCTGTCTACTACTCTGACAGACTCACCATAGAGCTCAAGAATAAGGTCAGCCACACAAACACAGACGCATAAACACAGGCCTTAAGTCCTGTACACTCATATTTCTCAACCTGCCCCTCCTGTGCGTACTTGTAATTCCAATGTTCCAGCTGCAACCTGCATGTCCTCACTTCACTTTGCTCTACATGATGTAACAACCTTAACCCCGTGCCTTCCCTGTCTCCTAGAGTAAAGTGTGTGTGATGGATCTGAAGGGGGCAGCCTCTTCACATAACATGTATCTGCATGGGGGAGACCTGCTGACTGTGCCCATCGAATCTCTCCTGCCGTCGTTCGGCCCCAGCCAGCCGCAGCCCACAGGTCTAAAAGCCTCTGTCTTTACCCATAGATACTCACCGATGAACAAATCAGTGTTTACACTCAAATTAGCCACGACATTAAGTCAAGGCATTTCAGAAAGACATGAAACTATTAGACCAGCTCTATATCAATGATTGATATCTCAAGAAGCAAGATGGCTGTTAGAAACGGGGAGAAGGAGGTATGTTTTGTACCTAATTGGCATGAATCTGCTAAACAGCTTCCTTTCCTGCAGAATCAAAGGTGGTGGAGAGCCCAAGCATCCCGGTGCTGGTGACCCTGCGGGCGAGCTTCAGCGCGGGCGTCCTCACCCCTGCAGTCAGGGAGCTGCAGGTGGGCTGCATCCGCTCCATGCACACAAGCAAGAAGGTACCAGAATGTCATTGGAGCGAAGAATTAGCCGTGTTTATGAAGCAGGTTTTAATTAATGGAACTGGAAACCAGCACTGCAACACGGGACATCAAGAGATGACATTATCATTTGTAAGTTACAAGGTTTTTTCTGTGGCTTTCCAGAGTGGGGAGTTTTACTGGGACAATGTGGCATCCCTGCAGCAACAGGGCTTTGCTGTGGAGCCCATCAAAGGCAGCGTGGACGCAGGCCAAAAACGCACCACCACCATCACATGGACTCCCCAGAGCGGGTACAAGGTGAGAAACCGCCCATGAGATTTCTACCCAAGAACTGACGACACTCTGTTGCTTCAGTTGCTTTTTTGAAATTGTGATGAATTTGCCATTTTCTTGTTTGAAAAAAGCGATAACACATTACATCGTCACCTATCCCGGCATACAGAATGTGATGCTTAGAAGAAGCCTAATAGATGAAGTTTGCAAGAGTTGGAGTGGGTTGTGCAGGAAAAAACTCAAATTCATTCAGTCTTTTGAAGTTCAGCCTGACAAAAGCAAATGATGCCAAACAGTGATGAGTTTTCAGCAGCAGATTTGATCCAGTTTGTCACATAAAAGAAGTCAGAACACTTTGCGGACGTTCAGATCGTGTTCGCATAGATACAACATATACAACAGATCAAGGTTTAATAAAACCCTATTCTTGCAGAGGACACCAGGTGGAGAAGAGCGAGAGTCATTTTAGCTTACTATAACAACCTACTTTTTTGTTTTTTTGTAGTCCTCTGACACTATAAAATTTAAGATGAATCTTTATTTGTTGTAAAATAGTTTCTGTATGTCTATTGAAAGGTTCATTATTTCATTCTGTTTTATCAGTGTCCAAAGGGGTTGTACATCCAAAACCCTCACTGTTTCTGTCTGTGCGTGCGCGTGTGTTTCAGCCCTTTGACGTGGTGCAGACGTGTGTGCCTCTGACTGTAAAGGGCGATGAGAAGACCATTTACAAAGTCACCCTGATGGCTCTGGTCTCCACGACCGCCGGATGACCTCACCATTTCCTGAAAGCTTGGGTACAGGAAGTCTGCTTACTCATACGCTGACATTATCAAATCATTAAGATTTTCCAATGGAATAAAAGATGCTTTTGATTGTTTTGGATTAGTTTTTTCTTCTCATTCTGAGATTGGTGAAACCACAGCTTGGCTCTTTATTACATTTTTGGTACAAAATGCCAGATTCTGCAAAGTCTACCCTAGTGCAGACTGAGGATTCCTCCAAAATATTTGTCTGTGGTCTATTTAAAGGCCACACACGGGAGGATGGAACAGATAAAGGGGCACAAGTTAGACAAACTAGATGCTGTCATCTGGTGTAATGAGGACCTCTACATGAGGTCATTAATAAACCTAAGTGGGACAGAATCTGAAACAAATAATCCTATATTGGTTTCTGATGGTAGTATGTCCTGTAATACTATGAATACATAAAACTAAAAATAGGAGGGAAGTGGTCTGAGTGTGAGAGTGCTGGTGGGGTGGGGGGGGGGGTCTGCTGACAAAAAGTCAGCTTGCCCCTTTTCCTGGAAAAATCACTTAATTGAATCTGTATTATTGTTCCTAAATGACCTTTTTAAACGATTAAAAAACTTTTATACACACCACTGGGCAAAGATTTTTTTTTATTACATATTGACAGGGAGTAGACAAAGTTGTATATTGAAACAACTTTTTTTGCAGAGCTCTGCTTGTCAGATGATCCCACACTGCTTTGATATTGTGGACGATTTGGCTTAGGGTAGGATTCATCCCTCCATCGGACCTGTTGCTGCTGCTTTCTGAGTCATTTGGTACTGCAGAGCCCCTCATAACAGCCAGCCTTCCGTGGAGACCATTTCTAAGAGGTTTGGGTGAGCTGGACATGGATCAGACGGCCCTTGACATGTTCTCTGGTATGTGTGGACACATCGCTGATAATACCCTTCATTTTTTACACTTAAATGATTCATAGGTTAGTGATAAGTGGCTTAATTAAAAAGAAAAAATAAATATCAGTCACCTACAATAGCTGAACTGAAAATGAGAGAAAAGGCAGCCAACATCCAAAGAAAAACACCTTCACATACAGAAAGAAAGGCACCAATTTGTCCCTTAAGTTCGTCCAAGACTTCTGACTGGGCAGGTACCCTCAAAGGTAATGCTGTGGCAGCCTTGTATTTTTCCACTCACTAATTGGGAACATAAGTGTATCTTTCAGGGCCTCTAAGAGTTCAAATTTGCTTTGAGTTCCAGTTTTTTGACAATGTTCAGAGAACCTGGAAAACTATTGCTCAAGGACACTTTAAAGGGGTTTTAGGACATCTGGCCGCTCAGATGCGAAAGAAATGAGAGGAGGCTCAAGACTTTTGCACATTCCTGCAGTTCAGGAGCATTGTCTGAATGCCTTTGAGCGCTAAACAATGCACGCACACTACTCGGTTTAATAAGCAGAAGATTAACAACAAAACAGCAGCGTTCTTCAGCACTTTCCCCAACACAAGGCAGGATTATTAAACCCACAACAAAACCTCACCATCTGTTGTTGCTGTTTGTCATTGAGTGCAGCATTTAACTGTACGGCTGATCTGCACCACCAGAGGGTGTGTGGTAAGCCAAGCTAGCTGCTGTTGTGTAACCAACATGGGGAAGGTTGTGTCAGCTGGAGGCTGTACAGTACCAGCCTCCTTTAGTGGAGCTGGTACTGTACCTCTGAAGGTAAGGGAAGGATCCGTTTTGAATAGGAGAGATGATGGAGTCAAATTTCTTAGCATGAAAATAGTGGGTAATAAACAGGCACATAGACAGTCAGTTCTCTGGAGCTATAGGCCAGATTTATTTAAATGTGAAAGCACCATAGAAAGTGATGGTAGGGGGGCTGTTTTCAGCTAAATGAGCAGCAGGAATCCAGCCGTTACCTGATCGGGGACACCTTTTATATCCACGTATTTGCTACGCAGAGCAAACATTTATCTTTCCCAGCATGCTGTTTAAAATTAGCCTGCACACCGTGTGAATCCAGTGTTTTATAACTCAGCGGTCAGATGTCCTGTATATAAAGACTTTAAGTGGCTTTTGAAAATGATGTAAATCAGAAAAGAACATTAAGTGGCATTTTTTCCATTTACAACCAACAGTGATAGAGTTCTTCAAACTGAATTTAGACTGGTGTACCGTACCATCCAACATGTAATGAAACCGCGGCATTAATGGAACTGAACAAATGGATAAAACATTTTATTAAAATGGTTAGATTTATTTTCTGTCAATCTCAGATGACATGACAGCAGAATATTTGTGAGGGTAAAAACATATTAAGGAGTTGTAGCCAGTTAATGGAGATTAAGTTTTGTTCTCTAACTAAATACAGCTACAAATCAGTTTTAAGTGGGCTTTAGGTTTTGAATTGTTTTTCACTATTGTCTTGAACTTTTTTTGTTGTTGCTCATTCACAAATACAAAACAAAAATAATGAAAAAGGATCTTCGCTCATGCATAAGAAGAAACTAGTTTTTGGGCTGCATCTGTCAGTGTGTTTGATTTAATTTACTCAGAAAATATTAATTTATTTTTTAGGGGAAAGTGTTTTTATCCACCATGACACACAGACAAATACCAAGAAGTCTGAATACCATTAGTATTCATTCAATCATTTTAGTCAATCATTCAGAGTATCCATTATATTGAAATAATCTTTCAAAATACAATAATTTTCATTTGCCAGTTTGGTAGCTTGTTTTAGTACATATGCATAAAGTGTTGGAGAATATAACTGTAGGATACGCTGGGTACTGTGAATGAGTTGTAGTTAGTTATTTTTTGTTTTTTGTATGCAGGTGGAAGTGACTGCCCTGACAAACTGGGCAAAATCAACACTCACACCAACTCACACTTCTACTTCAGACACCTCATATCTGACATCAGTAATATCAGGAACACATCTGTGGATCCCAAAAGGCATCTGCTGCTTAATCACTATCAGTTTGGCCTTTCTGGTGTTGTTTCATTCAGATCCTCACCTGTTAGGCCACAAAGGGTTGTACGCACTGTGCGAGCGAGGCCCTGCATATCTGAACACCAGATGTCAGTAACGGCTTTCAGTGGACCAATAGGATCTGACCTCTCTCAGAGATACATGCAGTAAGCATTTATCAGAGATTGGAGGAGATTATGCTAAATCAGATTACCGAACCCTAACCTGCCTATAAAAAGCAAGGTCATTAAGAGCTTAGCCTCATGTAATGTCACTCGCTTTATGAAATGTATCAGATAATATTAAGCAACCTTTCTGTCGCTGTTTTGGCTCTTTTTAATCTGATTTCTGCTATGATCTCTAACTAATACAGTAAGATAGTGCTACTTACGGCCCGCGCTCATGCTGACAGTGGGATTCCTGTTCCTGTGTAAATGCAGACCGATGCCAGCGTTACAAAAGTTGGCTTTTGTGTAGGTTGTGTCCAGAAATGTTGCTATTAATGCTGTGCACTCACACTGGTAAATAACAATTCAATTAAAGTCAAATCAAAGTTTAAATTATCATCTTTACTTGCAGTTTTTTTTATGGCTGTTTAATTTTTACTACCGTGGGGTGACTACTCATCATAGTTTTTAAAAGTATGGGTGTATAGGCCATATTTGATTTCGGTCTTATGCCTTACGCTCACAACAAGGTGTGGACTGTTCTTGTTCTGCGCTTCTTGTCACTCGGGTGAGAGGAGACAATAAAATGTCTCCCCTGCCTCCTTTAGCTCCTCTGTTGAAGGAGCTTCACAACACATGTATGCGGGCAGGGTTGTATCCAGGGGCAACTAAATCCCAGCAGCATTAGACAGTCCCAGTGGAAACCCACAGCCTGAGCGTCACCTCACACTTCTACAGATGTTATAACCACATACAAAACGACAACACAAACTCAATGTGTCACACATATTTTGATTTGATAATGGCATTTAAACACACTGAAAATGTTTTTGCCCAGTAGCTTTAGTTGTATGCAACGTTTTTAGTTATTGTAGACATATTTCAACATCCTTATATTCCCACAAACTAGTTTAGGTGTATGCAAGCATGAATACAAGTAATTCGGCGATAATCGGATGCATGCTGACTGCTGCTGATCTCACTCTCCACTCAAACTAAGCCACGGTGAATAAATAGACCACTGTCAGTAAAAGTGCAGTAAAGCAGCATCAGAGAGATTTGATAACCAACACAACAGCTCTCTCCTCTTACAAAACAAAGCCGATGTTGTTTTCCCATTCGGACCGAACCCGAGCACCGTTTGTTTTCTCAGAGGACGCCAATGTGTTCCACATCTCCAAGTAACGCCTTAACCCACTGAGAGCATTAACCCCTCCTCTGAGCACAGGTCCTGGACTGCTGATGTTAATGATCGAGTCATCACTGTCACCCCCCTCCAAACCCTCTGCACAGCAAACAAATCCCTCCTGATTTCTTTGCTTGAACTGGATCACGGGGACCAAAGCCTGTAAACTGTAAAGCGGGACACATATTAATATTCAAAGATTAGAATTTGATTAAAATGGTTCAAGAGCAGCTTTGTTGACAGTGTGCCCGAATAATATAGTGGAAAAGTCTTTGTCACAAATAATCTCTTCTCCATTTGTTGTTGTTTTGGTTAACTTTGTGACCAGACTTAAAGACAGCGTGAATCTTTCTGAGTAGACATGGCCGCGTGTTTTGTGTTTAGCCACGCTATGTGGCCGGGCGCATTTGTTTGTTTTTGAATTGCAAATGAAGCAGCGTTGTTGTTGCAGTTCGGATGTACCGATATTTTCATATTGCACAAATGTAAAAGTCACTTTTGGTCATAAATCCAATTTATTGGGATTGCACATTTATCTTACAATATTAAATGTTCGTGATAGAAAAATGTGGAGATAATCGGTTGGTATCTGATAGTTTTCTCTCATTTGAGTCATTTAGTTAGGTTTCAGTGTTAACACACAATGATCTTGAAAGTTGCTTCAAAATGTGAACATATTATGTTGGTATGTTGAGACTTTTTGTTATTCAGCTGTTATTTATTCCTTCAAAACCATTTATGTTTATTATTGATTACTAAACCACTGTAATTTATATCAAATA